TGCGTTTTAATCGAGTTTATATCACAACTATATTAAAAGTTAATTTAACTATATTAAAAGTTAATCCAATGTGTGTCGTTACAAAGACGGTAGTGTATATGTGTGCATGTGTGTGTGAATTGCAACATAACATAAGAAGTGCATGGTTAATGCCAACAGTGTTGCCAACAGCATGGTGGCTAATTTACACAATGATAAAATATATTAAGTAACTGATCTGTATCGTTAATACAAATAAAGAGTAGTGGGCAACTACTATAAACACTATTAATTAACATGGTTTGATCCAAACTTGTATATACATGTAGCTGGTTATTTCTCATACACATCCAGTGTGTATGAGCATGAGAAAGAAAATCTGTGACAAATACATGACAAATAGAGAAAATCTTGTATCAGGATTCTGTACATATAAATACCATAAGTGGCTGCTCATTTGAAAATCAGGGTGGGAAAAAATTGCAGATGACTGCATATTAAAAAATACTTTAAATACAGTATCAGTATGTAGGCAAATACAATATTTGTGGGAAAAAAGGCAAATTCCTGCAGCCCCAATATTCTTTTAAATGGGCAATTCCATTTTATGAAAAATAACTAGTTGTGAACTTTAAATCTCATTTATCTGGATTCCCAAGGAAGGTTACATGTACACGAAAAATGCACCAAGGAAAAATGGTGTTTTCTTTTGAAGTCCAGATTATACATGTACAATAAATTCTATCACTAATATTTGATGAAATATTTTTATGTGTGTACAGGTTTACTAAAATCTGTATATCCATTAAACAAATAGTACATGTACAAAGTATATACCGTCTAAACAAAATTATCCTCAGAGTTTTTGGATTTGTTAAAAATGAACATGAATTTTGCCATTCATCATTAAAAGGCAATAAAAGTTATATCTGATTTGTGGTTGGGATTTGCTAAACTAGTTATAAAACGTCTATGAAATTGTTAATAAATATTTTTTGTGAATATCACTTATCATGAAAAATGCATATCGCAAAGTGTCTGGTTTTAAAAATGAATTATTTGTTTAATTGCAAGCCATATAAACTGCAGTTGTAAAGCACCTTTTTTGGTACATCCACATAACGTTGGATGTTGTCAATTTAGTGTATACACAACGTTAGTGTATGCAAATGAGATGAAACATAATAAGAAGATTAGGATGTGCTCACAAATGACGATTCTTAGGTTAGTTTCTGACGCAATTGCTATGAAATGCATACATGTGATAAATAGAATATCAAGATTTGTGTCCCATGACATAAGGTTCTTTAAACTTGAGACGTAATTTTCATGTGCCTTTGGTGAAAATTACTACACTGTTTAATAAATCAGAAATTATGGGTTAATCTTTAGATATCCTCTATATATAGAGAAATATATTTTTAGCTCCTGTCCCTTATGTCTAAAAATAGCAACATTATTCGCTCTCCGTATTTTGCAGCCGCCATGTTTTACAATGAATGGCTCACCAACATTGCCTGTATCATGCGCTCCTTAAATTATGAGGTAAAAGTAACCTATGGGGGATAACTACTAATAAGGGAAATGAAAGGAGTCATGATTGCATAATTTAATATTCAAAGACAAGCGTGACTGCATCGATGTAGTATATTTCATGGTCATACAGCGGAGTGAGGCCTCGGCGCACTAAGTATGACTCATATTTCAAACCTACAATTAACGACAAAACAAGATAAGACACAATATACTACACATGTATGTTGTAGTCTTGACAGATGCGTTTTGTTTTACATGGCTACGTTTTTAAGTTCTCACTGATTTACGACTGCACGTTGTTGTTGGAGAACTTGACAGTTGCACTTGATGTTGACCACATCGTGCAATGGCTGCTTACATCGCGTACGAATGACGGACGTCACTGTGGAAAACGTCAATCGATGATAAAATAACGTCAATATGACGATTTTGTTTTACTAACAAGCGAATGAAAACACTGATCATATCACAGGGCATTAATATCAAATGTTAAACATGAAACGAGATTCACCAGGTTCGACCAAAAAAATAACAAATCACAAATCGGATATGCAAATTGCAATTAAATTTGCAACATACCTTATCTTTGACGAGTTCCCGTTCTAAATGGTCATAATTATTGTGCCACACAAGACAATGCAGTGGAAAATTATCCGATGGATTGCCTTTCGGCATTGTTTTACATAAAAACGGGCAAAATTTCGTCGAACAGGAAGTAATAGCAAACGATAGCACAGTGTATGTGTGTTTGCTATTTATTTACGCATGTGTCAAAATTGACCGCTCCGGGATATCAACATTACTCGTATTCGACATTGCATTTGGGGTGATTTCCAATAGAATGTTTAGCAGAGACTGAGGTTATTTTATTTTATCGTCTAAGAATGCCACTCAGACAAGAAATCTGTATTACTATTAAAATAACATATATTTGACTACCGTATCATGTTCGTTTGTCTGTATCAGTATCACAACAAATAATACGACTAATAATACGACGCATAAACCCTTTATTGTCGACCGGCGGTTAGTGTTAACATTTTTCACTTCGTGAAGTCATGATGCAACTTAAGTCATTTAAAGTTTTATCAAACACATGTTAACTTTAAATATTGATATCAAAGTTCTGCCAACAACCTGGATAGTGTTAAAATAATCAATAAACATGATATAATATCCATGTTTATCTAATTTCTATGATTATAGTGTGTAACAATATTATTGTCTTACATTCATCTGCCTTTCAAGGTGGTCAGAAAGTGCGTCGCTTGGATAATGAATTTCTTCCGTGCTAACTTTCTCATGAAACTACAGATCAGACCAGACACAAACAATGTCCGTGTCGCGACAATGCATTAACATTTAAATGTGTATGGAAACATTAATTAATGATGTCTAGAATAGTGCATTCATAGTTATTATATAATAGAATTGTATTCATCTACATTATTCGAGTTATTTGTCCTGGGAAGTGATCGGTCAAACGTTCGCAGTGTTAATAATGTTATGTCCTGCTATTTTAGGACCACCTTGGCAACATTGAACGTTCACTCTAATAACTCACGTCAGTTATCTGTATAGTTCTCTCAATATAAGTTTTCTCAACACCAACTAAATGGTCTCTTTGGTTTTTAGTTAGTGTACATTAGTGTCCGTTTATGTGGCGACTGTCATCGCTTCAGTCTGCTCATAGTCCATGTAGAACTGGAGTGCGCCATCGTGCGAAACAAATTAGTTCTTCACATCAAGGTACCTCGATGCCATTGGCAACATTACATGGACGAAATCGAGGCTAAACGCATCCGTGATTACCTGCATGGCATGACATGCATTTTCGAAATTATCACCCCTAAAAGTTGGTCCGGCATTTAAAAAAAAATGTTATAAGTATTACATAATAACACGTATAATATAATCATCCTCATTATCAGAATGACAGCTAGGATGCGTTGTATGTGAAGACTTAATTTTAAACAGGCCTTTTAAGGCGATACAGGCTACTTTTAGATGTTTTTGTTGTTGCTTTATTTTGTTGTTATTTTAGTTCATGTAACTTAGTTTCTATTTTTGTCTATCAAAAGTGTTTTCATTGGTCTTTGCGTGAAATGTTTTATTTATTATTTATTTACATAGTGAGCCCCTGTTACAAAAGGGAAGCAATAAATAAATAAATAAATAAATAAACAAATAAATAAATAAATAAATAAATAAATAAATAAATAAATAAATAAATAAATAAATAAATAAATAAATAAAGGCGGTCTAACTTTTTTAACTTTATTTTTATTTCAATAAAACCATTAAAGAACCACTGTGAAAGTGATAAATTCTAGACTTTCGTATTTCTTTAGAATGTAAATTTTTATTTTCATGCAGTGGCGGCAACTATACAGAGTTGTAATTCAGGACCTAATGTGTAGATTTAACTACGATGTAATGTAATAAATTACACGATGTATATGACATCATAAACTCAGTTTGTTTTATTGAATGACTTAGTATCGATTATGCAGAATTGGTAAACCCAAATGGTTGTAAATAATCATGGTTACTATTTATTGCAATGCTGTATACTTCGAGTTTCTGGTAAAGGCAATACCCCATTTGGGGAAAAATGCTAACCGGGTCGACTTGACTACAATATAATGCAATACGAGGCCGAGTTTTACGCCATAAACTAGGTCATTAGTGCCTACATTTCCACTAAATTTTGCCAGCCCTATATAACTATATAATGTGTCTTAGCAAACTTGAGAGAGTCTAGACTCAGTGAAATGTTATTCTTAGTCTATAATTTAACAAAATAATAAAATTAGGGTTACAACTTATTGTCTGGCGAATTTCTCCTTCCGCACGACACCTCTCTGGTTTTGTTTTATATGACAATTTACCGAAACCCACGAAGCTTTACTTAAGACTGGAGTGGAGGATTAACATACCTTTGAACACATGCATCTGAAATCAGCGTCTCAAACTTGGCCAGAAGCAGCTACCCAGTAATTTTCCCTCCGGTGACACGTGATCCTTTTACTGGTTATTTTTCACGATGTTTGACGTGACTAAGCGCCCCGTGCACGCCTGTATAGAATGAATTTTCACAATCAGCACTCCAAAATTGTCAAGAAAGGCTTAGTCTGGCACAGGATGTATGCTTTATATACCTTGAACAACATTTGAAAGTGTGTGACATGAAAAGGGCGTGTTTCAATAATAATAATAATATAATAATAATATGGTGATAATGTTAATTATTAAGTTAATTGAGCATCGAGTTATAATTTGGGCGTGGTTTTGAAAAAAGTGGACATAGTTTCCAAAATATGGGCGTGGTCATTTTTGTAACTCTACCAATTCAGCATCTTGTTCACAATATGAGTTGTTGATATGATATGATAGGGAAATTTTATTCAGCACAAGCAGCACTTGTTTTATATAGTAACATATGGTCTTATTATTAACATATGCATTTAAACTGCTGTCTTCTCTGGACGCGTTTTATAATTGCAACGTGATTTCAATTCCGGATTTCGCCGGCAACCTTGAAAAAAACTCATTAGGAGTAAATATTTTGACCAGTCATGTTATGATGCGATTGTAGGAATATATTGAGCAATAAATAATTAAATAAATAAATTGTTGGACTGAAAATTCCGAGGTATTTCCCTGACCAAAAATGACTTATTGGGCGTTTCCTATTGTGGTCATTCATGAATTCAAAATTTGACAAAATTAACAACATCAAGCACCCCATATCAAACGGAAAACCCATAAAAAGCCAGGCAACCACAGTTGCAGATAGAGGGACTGTGAGAAAATAAAACTATTAGTGCGCTCCAATGTTATAATTTGAAACATGGTATAATTTGAAGGTCAATTTTTCCGTTTTGTCTTCGACTACATTTGTTGGATATAGTCTGTGTGATATAT